CAAGAGCTATTTCTACAACAGGACAACTCATCTTGTTGTCAACATCCAGGTACGAGTTGCAGAACAGTAAGAAAATTTTAACATAAGCAAACACACCCAAAACGTAAGATTTTGCAATTCTAGGAAGTCTGCAAATTAATATCCTTAGATTTTTATTGGGTTTTTTCTTGAGGGCAGGGGGAGAGGGAGAGGACTTAGGCTGCTAAAAACTAAGAATTCTCCTAAGCTAAATTTCCATAGAAGAAATAAGAGAACATATATTCCAATTTCTTGGATGCCAGGACAAGGCTGCATTGAAAGAATCCAGACTACAACCTCAATTTAAAAAAAAAAACGAAACCAAACCAACAAACAAAAAAAAAACCCCAAAACAAAAAGCTTATACTCCTGTTCACTCATTCTCTCCATTTACATATGATTTGTTATCAGGCCAAATCTGCTCTCCCCGAAGATTAGAGCTAGATGGCTTCATGCCTTATAAATGGAATCCGAGTGCAGTATCCTGACCGCATATCAATTTGGTTGGGTTTTCCTCCTTTTAAAGGCATCTGGTTTTATTTGGAAGCAATCTACCCAACCTGGGAGCAGCAGACACCCCACGCCCTGCGGCCCATCAGAGCCAGTCTCCCTCACCACACGCACCTTCTTGCACGTGCCCTGTGCAGCATGTTCGCCAGCACGGCTTCCTCCCTGGCCAGGGAGCAGTCACCTCCACCTCATTATCACCCAACCTGCACTTACCTGTGGCAACCAAGCCCCAAGCATTGCCCAAACGCTTTTGGAGTGACAGCTCCACTAAGCAGGAAGTACCTCATTTCCAGTTTACTACTTTGTTTACTGGCTACATCGTTCCACCACGGAAAAGTTTAAGTGCTTTGTGACATTTCACTGAGAAGATACTATAAAAATAAAGTGTCTGCATCACAGTGCAATATAGGACGCTAAAATACCACTCATCCTTTTGAAAAAGATTATTTTTACTTCCTGATCTGCATACTCTAGCACACCATCTTTGCTAAAATGTTTCCAAAAAAATCTTTCACAGCATGAATACAGGGCATAAAATTAAACCTTGTTTTTTAAAACAAGGTCCTTATCCAGAGCTCCTAACAGCTAACTCTTAGCCACATTGGTTCAGCTCACTTCTCTCCCAACCCAATGCCTCCTCAATCCTTCGTCCTAATTTGAGGTAAAGCATTCAATCAGGTGTTTATCTTCATTAATCTCTCCTCCAGCTTCCCTCACAGATACACTGAGAAATCCTTCAGCTATGTTTCCAGTATGATGTAGTAAACAGGCTTTTGTTGGGCCCAAAGAGTTAGCTCTTTCCATACCAAACCACCAAATAAGGTGGAAGAAACCTTCTTAACCCAGTTACTACAAGCAGACCTAGAGGCATGTATGCAAGTTTGACTTGCAAAGAAAGAGGGAGAAGAGAAAAAGCAATCTTCAGACTGATTGCTACTCTCTTGTAGACAGAAAGCCATTTTGTTAAATTATGATAATCTCAAGGAGGGAATTAATGCTTCAGAAAGTAAGAGAGAACTGCTTTTAGCTTAATTTGTAAGTGAAAACAGAACAGTCTACACAGAGAACACAGCAGAGGAATAAACAAAGCAAGGTAATAAAAAAGTAAGAAAAGACTTGAATAAGGTGATAAAAAACAGCCAGCATGCATTTAGAGACAAACAAGCCTGTCTTCCTCCTTTAACTGATCCCTCATGCAGCAAGGGGGAGGGAGGAGGAAGGAGCAATAACTCTGAGCTACTTAGACTATACTGAGACTTTTGATGTCTTGTAACATTCCCACAGTAAAATACAACTATACTGTAGATTCATGTAAACAACAAGATTTTTTCCAGTTGTACACCAAGTGTACTCTAAGAGTACAGAACAATCCTTCTGAGTTTGGCAGTAATCTATCACCCTGACATTATGCAATGTTTTCATTAACTCCGATGGTGAAACAGTGTGTTTATACAGTTTATGAACAAAGCTGAGCTGGAAAAGCTTGCAAGCACTCTGCTACGAAGCCTAGTTCTGTCTTCCAAACTCAATAAACTGGCAAAGTGATCAGAAGTCATTAGAACGAAGTTCAATGGAAGCAAGAGCAAAGCTCTGTACTTGAGAAAGGAAACAGAGCTCCAAACACCCAAAATGAAGCAGCTGACTAAGAAGCTGTATTGCAGAAAATAAACAGTGATGGTATTATGGATCAAAGCTAGGTAAGCTGATACATTGCTACCGCAGGAAGACAAAAAAACAAACCAGAAAGAACAAAACTCAAAGATCACTTCAGAAAGGGAGACACCATTTTTTGAACTGATGAAGCCTCAGCTGAGCCAACATGTCCACTGTATTTTAAGATGCTTTGACACCATAGGAAAGGCAAAGCCAAGCAGCAGCCACCAGTATTGTAGTTACTGCATTCCCTAAACCAGGTATACGTTTACGTGAATATGCTTACAGCAGCCACTGCCCTTCCACACTGACAACCCACCTGATGGGCAAGTCCTGAGTGATGCTCATGAGACACATCCTGTGAATGCCTGTGTCTTTGCATAGCAAAGAAGCAAGACCACATTTTTACCTGCACTTTCTAACCCCTCTTCCTCACTTGCAAAACTGCTCCATTGGTTTGCTATGCAACACTCCACATTCCATCTTCTCCATACAGCTCTCGTATACTGCATGTTTAGAGCTGTAATTTCAAACTTTCCACAATATAAAGGGAGGTAAGTACCTTAGGGCAGGATTTCCCTTTTTCTTCATTTCCGCTCATCCCTCTCACCTCCTTAAAGTATTCTGTAACATTTCCCACTGTTAAAGCGGTTAAACATTTAGATCTCCCCTTTCTTCTCCTGCACCACCCTTCATTGCTGGTGGTAACAAGAATCTTACCACTAGTATGACAAAGGCTAAACCATAACTTCCCCCAGTGAGGTGGAGCCATTACAATCTTATTAACTATAATTTTATGCTTAATTCTATCTTCAAAAACTGCATCTGTTCTAATTGGATTCTGATATAATTATTCGCAAGAATGAAAAAAACCTCAAATATTTCAAGTCTGTTTAAGTCTGTTTCTTTGTTTTTACTTGCTACATGAATTTCAAGTCCTCTCAGGATTGTGAGAGTCTGTGGAAAAGTGGAGTCTGTGGCAAGCTGAGTGTGCTTCTCCCCTGTTCTTTGCTATTAACTTAGGACGATTGGAAGCAGGTGACTATACACTTGGCTGCTTGTATCCTGTGGTACAGCTGCTATGCAGAAAGCAGCACATGTAAATATGTGCACGATTCCTGCCTCCTAAGAGGCTCTATGGGCTGCATGTGGCATTTAGGGTAGCACTTTCACAACCCCCTTTGTGCAGGGTATTACTTTATTACATTAGCACACAGCTGAGCTACACGTATCTACTAAAATGGCTGGAGAAACTCCCTTGTTCTGAAGATATTTCAAGATTTTTTGTTAATCTTAACAGAATTCCAAGATATTACTTCTGAAGAGTTTCACCCAGTTAATGATAGACATTCACGTCAACTTTTTCTGCCTGAAAACTAAAGAATAAGCACAGGTCATATGGAGGTTCTGAATGGCTACAGAAGAACATCTTAAAGCTGCAAATATTGACTTGGGTTTTACCTGGCTATTTTGAACTTCTGTTTCACCATGACAGCAAACACCTTTCAAACTTCAGTGCCTGGTATTAAAACAAAGAGCTTCTAAAAACAACATGCCTTGCTGCAATTGATCAGGTAGAGGTTTACGCAATTAAAAAACAAGGAAGAAAGCAAAGAGAAAACCCCATTTCAAAACCCTAGTACTTAAACCCCATTATTTTATGTATATGTTTGTGATAATTTCTGTACTGTCTGTGCTACCGCCACGTCATATAATCCTTACAGCATATACATACAAGAAATACACCTAAGAGTGGTCATTTACACAGTGTCACTATTAGCAAGCATGTCATTAACAACCCTAATTAAGCTGTGTATGTCATGTAAGTGTTAGCATTTAACACACGGATATCTAAGCTATATTAAAGTGTTTCTCAAAACACCAAAGTGATTATAACACAAAAAGAATGTGTTTTTAAAACTGAAAGCAACCATGGGAACAATAGAATCACCAAAAATTTAAGAAACCCAAATATCTAATCAATAATTCTAAGCAATTTCTTTTTTTAATTAACACTCACTTTTACGATGAGGACTCATAAGATCTGTTTAAAAAACAATCTTGCTTTAAGTTAACAGGAATCAATAATCACTGCTCTTGCAGATCAAGATAGAAGTAATGACATATTTTCAACTCTAGGGGCATCAGCAGCTGTTGCTATACTGCAAAAGAGCTGAAGTGTTATAAACACATACGTAGACAGTCGACTTTATTTTCCTGTAAATCCAGATGTCAGTAATCCAGATTAAGATGGAACCAAATTATGGCGAAAAAATAGTATTTCGGCATGCTTGTTACGATACATCTCCTTTATAACCAGAACAAACCCCTCTGCCAGATTACAAAACATCACAGATTGAAGTTACACCTCTTCTGAGGGTGTTTTTTCAGCTACATTTTGTCTTTTTTGCCCACGTGCTGGCATTGTCTGTCGATGTCCCATTTGCCTTTGACCGACTCCCGCCCCAGCACTGCAGTCCTGGCTAACAAGCCGGCTGTAGCTGACACACCAACTGCAGCATTCCCGGAGCAAAAGCAGTTCGCTAGGGTGTTTTGTCTCCCTTCCGTCCAACCCAGACAATGGGAAGCTGAAGGGCAGGCAGGACATGGGGCTCTTGGACACATTCCCGGGGTACCTTCCAGTCTACCAACTCGGGAGATGCTAATGGGAGTGAAGCCGAGCACCAAGATTCTCTCCCATCCCCCAAAATGACAGGGGAGGGGATAAGGAAATAGAGTGATAACACCGAAACAAGATACCAGGCTAATCCGAGACAAAACAGAACACACACAAAGAAATATCCTGATAAACCGTTTACCTCGTTCCGGCTTCATTTTCTCTGTCTCCTCAGGCAGGAGCCCCGGTGCCCCGCTGCTCCCCCCACGAAGGCTGGCTGCCGCTGCCTCCAGCTACCCGAGAGCGATTCTTTGCCGTACGACCAGCAAGCGGACCCCTGCCTGGCAGCGGGGCCCGCCGGCAGGCAGGCAGCAGGCCGGGGACGGCTGAGTGACGGCGGCCTCTCCCCGCGCCCGGCCAGGGTGTCCTTCCGTGACACGGCGCCGAGCGGGGCTATTTATAACCTGCCGAGGAAAAAATCCCACAACAACAGACCTCGGCTCACCCCCGGCTCTGAGTCACCGCGGCCCCGGAGTCCCCTCCCTTTCGCCTGCCCCGAGGAAGGCAACGAGCGGCCCCCCAACACCCCTCCGCCCTGCAGCTCGCGGGCTCTGCCCCGTCACCGGCCGGCGAGTGGCGGCGGGGGGCTGCCCGGCACCTTCATCCCCGGCCCCGCCGCTGTCGCCCGGGTTGCCGGGCCGTGCCCCCCGCGCTTAGCCCCGGTCAGACAGCCCGCCCCTCCAGCCGCCGCGGAGTGCTGCTCCCCATGGCTCTGCCTCCCGCCCTTCCTCCTCCTCCTCGCGGCTGACTAACTCCCCTCCTCTCCGCCGGGAACTCCCCGCCTCCCGCCGAACGGGGCACACACATGACAGCCCGGCGGCTGCGGGCACGTCCGCTCGGCAGCACGGGACCCGCCGCGCTCGGCCGCCTCGCGGCCGCCGATACAACACAACGGAACAGAACGGGACGGGACCGGACAGGACTGCGGGACCCGGCACCGTGTTCATCCCACCCCCAGGCAGAACCGACCGCCCCGCCCCTCGCCCGCCTCACGTGCTCCGCGGCTGCCAATCGCGTACATTCACTTCCTGCCTGCCTGCCCGCCTGCCGGGCAACTCGGTTGTCATAGCAACAGAGCGCCGGCCCGGCTGAGGCCTGTTGGCGCTGGCCGGGCGGGCCCGGTCCGTCGGCGGGAATCGGTTCCGCCGCGGTTTATCGGTTTCCCCATTTCCCGGTATTCTTCCCTCTTAAACCCCCCGCCCAAAAAGTGTTTTGGCAGACAGGCCCCGGGACCCTCACTCACCTAGCATAGGCTGCCCAGCCGTTGGTGGGCCTGCTCCCACGAAGGGCCCGTCCCTCACTCGCGTTAGCTGCTTGCCGGCTCTCGCTCTTAGGCCTGTACAGCCACAGAGGTGTTCCCGCGTTGGCACCCCGTGTCTCCACACGACCGCGTGCTCATCTCTGTAGGGACATATACATATAGCTGTGTATATAGGCATCCTCTGAGCAGCGATTGAAAGTGTGAACGGCCCGAGCCGCGGGAGGCTGTGCCCCCACCTGCCCAGAGGAGTTGCGAAGGAGGGGAGAGGCCGCCCTGGTGCCCCTGGCCCCAGGGGAGGTTGCCGCCCTGATAACCTGCCCCTCACATTCCCACTGCCTGCCCTACCCAGCAGCCCTGTGCTTCACGCTTACTTGACACCAGTAACAGTTTGTGTGCAAAGACAATGGGGCCATCTGGGTTGTGGTTACAACCACCTCAATCCAGCAGAAAGGCAAGTGTACCCGAAAGGAACGGCCTGCGCCATGCCTCGTTCCAAGGCCTGCGTGGCTGCCTGTCAGGTCAGGAGCCAGGGCCACTGAATGTGAGCCTTCCATGCCCAGAGTCTGCTCTATTTGGTGCAGACACACTGCTAATGCCTCCTCTGGAAATGAACAAGTTGCATTGGTGACAGGGCTCCCTCCTAAACCAGGGACCCAGATCCATACGGGCTATAGTGACTGTGGTATCCTAGGCTCCCGACAGTAGAGAGCTCACAAGGAGACTGTACCAGGGCCAGGGAAAGCCCCACATACAACAATAAAGCTCAGAGTTGGGCGCAGTCAGAAAAGACAGATGAGTTGATACCAACCTCTCTTACTTTAATGTGGTCCTGTATTTGGGATATACACAGACACTGATGCACCTCCAGTCATTACACTGGCAAATCCCTGCCACTGTGATTATTGTTTACAAACCCTTCCATCTTACAGACTGAGCACTACTGGGGACACTCACTCTCTACAAGATGATTTATAAATATGTGACTTCTGCCCTTTCTATATAGAGAAAATACACATGGGTCAGTCAACTCCCCATCCTTTCTGGTGTGCCAGGACCCCCTCAGATGCTTATATACCTAGGATCTGCGTAGCCTCCCTCTTCTCACAGCTAATCAAGCAGCCACGGAAGATATTGCAGAGAATGTAGAATTCCCAAACAACTCAATTCTACACTGTTCGGCTCATAGGAACCGCACCTATGTCCCATCATTACACTTGGAGGGTGCTTCATAGAACAAGCTGTCCAGTAAACATCTCTCATTTCAGTCATACCCCAAAATACATAGGCAAGTAGGAGGGTATCACATGCAGTGCTTTGATATTACACTCATAAGTACATGAGTGTTACTTCTGTTGCTGTGTGACTGCTGTAGATGTGTTTGGTAATTACAGATCTCATAGCTCTCTGCCGGATGCAGTATAATTGCAAATGTGGCAATCCAAAATTATAAAAGGAGGAATTTGACTGAGCAATAAATGCTGTAGATGTGTGTATATGTGAAATTCAGCATGACTACATGGGGCATGATTCAGCCACCTGTCAGATCCTCCTACCGGTTATAGTCATCCTAATGAAAAGTCACATCCTTTAGGCCACTAATTGTTGCTGTAAGACATTGCAAATTAGTTTGTAGCTTGCTCTAACATTGGTTTTACAGTCAAAATCAAATCTGCCTTTCTACTGTTTAACTACAATTGTAGCTATTTAACTGTTATGCTTCATATAGTATTTTTAATAATATTTAAAGTTTTAAGCTCACTTTAAGGATCATTTTTTTAAACATCTCATGAGACATACATAGGCCCAGCTTCCAAGAAAATGCTCTCTCAAAGCACTTAATTAATGAGCCAAATAGTAAGTGCCCGGTTTTCCATTACTTCATAGTTCTTAGTAGTTCAAAAAAATGCCAGATATATTCTGAAAACCATTTACCATTAAAAAAAAAAAAAAGAAAGTTCTAAGAGATATGATTAGAGTAAGCCAGGTCTGGTTTGCAGTCCTACTCTATATGACTGCATAGGAGATTTAAAGGTCAACTTCCCCTCCAGTCAGATAATTTCTGGACCCAGAGAGCAATAGGTATATCTGAGATCCATCCTTCAGGTCCTGGTTGACTTCAGACAATGGATGGTTTCCCTTTTGACCACATAGATATATAACAGATCAGAAAAAAACAGAACAGCAAACTAAGAATTATTAGAGAAATCTCATTATACAATATTTTATGTACAATATTAAATGCAAAGTAAGGGTAAGCATCCCAAACAAATTCGTGGACTTAGTGTGTCTAAAATGGCTAAAAATGGCCTCGAACTCATAGCTTTCCTCCCAGTCACCAACCAAACAATGAGCACTGTATGAATAGCCAGAGAAGACATGGAATTAGGGGCTTCAACTGTGGGAATTCGCTTACACATCCTTGGAGACTTCTTGAGAACAATGATGCTACTGAAATGCATTTCTGACCTCAGAAACTGAATATCAGGTTAAAAAGTCTGAAAAGCGTATGGCTGCATTATGTATCACATGAAAGCAGGATTAGCTTAGAACACTAACAAAACTTTAACTGTGCTCCCACTGCCAAGTACAGACCAACATGTGCTTCCAAGAGCACCAGCAGGGGCAAAACCAGGATTCTGATCAGTTTGTGTCTGGTGGTTGATTAACTTCAGTGCCTAGACAGGTAAGAGCTTTGGCTGCAGCACCCATGCCATCAAAGCAGCTCTAGCACATGCAATCTCCAGTGTTGAAAGACATGAGTTTCGGTGGCAGGCTCTTTCCCAGTGGAAACCTTAACAGGGCCACTTGCTTCTTTTTCCTGAAATGTGTCAGACCTTCTCTTACAAACCCTACCCCCATGTGAGGCTTGGCTCAAACTGGCCACTAGATTTAAAATAATCCCTACTCGGGACAGCATGACACATAAACCTTGCTCATGTAGAAATGAAGTTTTTAAACAAAATTAAGATAAACATATGGCTGTGTTTCCTTTCAGAACTTCAGCCCTTTAGGCTTTTGGCACAGCCCCTGTAACCTGGGACAGAGTGTATTTTAGGTCATATCCCCAAAAGTCTTTTCAGCTTCAGCTGTCAAAGAAGTACTGTCTGATGCAGCAGATCAGGATTCCTGTGATTCCTGGAGACAATTACTGCCTGTTTAATGACGTGGTACAACTGCTTTTGACATGGCTGTTGTGGTATAAAGCCACCACACTTGGAAGAATATTACAGCCAAAGGATGAGGACAATGGGAAATAGACTGAAAGATACAGTCTGCAGTGAAACGAATTTAAAATGTGTTAAAAGAGAAAGTCTGCAAAGAATCAACTGTAATGTAATTGTCCCCAGTAGTAATCACTTTGGAAAGAACGTTAAAATAGAAACAAATACCACAAGAACTAATAAATTCCTACAAGCTGTTACTGAAACTGCGAGAATAAAACAATATAATTAAAATATCAGTAGGTTGTAAAAGTTTAGTTTTAGGGGTTATAACCATTTTGCGTTTAGTTTTTAATTTGTCAGTATACGCACATAAGTGGATCTAGTTGAAGAGAATTCATCATAATCCTTTAAGATACCTATAACCACAACAGTAAGAATAGCTTGAGAAAACCTTTTTCTGCATGCTTGCCAACCTTTGTGTTACCACCATTAACTTCAGTCTCTGAGTATGTGTCTTTAGCCCCATTCATCTTTATTTAGCAGCTAGATTTAAGTATTTTAACACCATCAACCCAAACTGATTCAAAAATACATCAGAAACACCCAAACTCCATGCCCCAACCTTACAATTTCCAGGTAACACAGCTCATTATATCATGCAGAGATATCTGAGTGGCATTAAGGCAGTGCTTCTGGCGTTCCACCACTTGCTTTATTTCACGCTGATCTGAGAGGCAAGAAGACTTTGGTGGTGGGAGCCACAGAGGAGGTTTTGTTCTCTATTCATCTCCAATTCCTCCTCAGAGCTGCTCACCAGCATAATTTTGAACAGCCTTTAAGCCTCTCAGTTACATTTGGGACTTGCCTCAGGATCAAAGAGAGGAAAGTAAATTAATCTCATCTTTTTGTTTTGAGTCCCCAAGCACGGACTGTCATATGAAAGTCTGGCAAGATGGGAAAAATAACAGTAGAAACAGCAGGATTTCAGTTTTCTTTCTTTGAAATGCACAGGTCATGGTGCTGGAACTAAATATTTTGAAGAGAGTAAATAAACATAATGTAAATCAACAGGTGTTAGACCCTTGTGTTTGCTAACTTAGAGGGATTTATCTTTTCATACAGTTCCTACCAAACCCCTCGTTGCTTAATTTCACTACTAATTGGCCTTTAAAAGTAAAAACTATATAGCTATTGTCATGTTCTTACTTTCTAAATCCACTTTTTGAAATTAGTAGAACAACATCCTCTTCATGTGTCCTCTCAAATTGCTTCTTGCTCCAAATAGTACTTTCTCACTGGAGACACAGCCAAGACTAAGTTGAGAGGGAATTATGAGAACAATGGAAAGTTTTATCTTCCTCACCAGAAATAATTTCCTGGATTCGACACTTTGTTGCTAAACCTTGTTTACATACAGGAGATTCCTTCAGTTGAAAGCAACCTGGCCCCTGTCCTGTGCTGCTGCTCAGGTTTCCTGGGTCACATGGGATGACTTGCGCCTTCTTCACTATTCTGGCAGCAGCAACAGGAGCTTAGCACCTCTCAGGATGGAATCTCTTCTGCCATTCTTCCAAAGACTGAGGTCTAGCAGTCAGGCCTTCTTGCCAACAAAAATTAAGCCCGTCCTACATTTCCACAATTTGCTTTGGAAACAGTAACTTGTATGATCTCTTCTCTGTTTGGAGCAACTGCTAAAATGATGCTTCATAAACCTTGTATACTTCTTTAGTAACTGATCTGTGATGTGTAATTAGATGCCAGTTCCAAAAGAGAACAGTGCTGTCTCATCTGAAGTGGTGGCTGGTGGTAATGAATATAGATTTATGAAGATAGACACATAAAGGTTCTGCTTTACAAGAAGAATAACCACCTGTTTTTCTATAAATGCTGATCTAAGAAGATACCTACTTAGTAAGATCACAGCTGTTAAGTTTCATTGCATCAACACCTGACTAATCAGACAATAATGCACTAAAAAGTGAACTATCTACTTGCAAATAGATCACTAATTTCTGAAAGAGAGAAATTATTCTCTTTTACATATAAGATCTTTTCTTTGGCTGTAATATTCATTTCAGACTGGAAGCAGTTTTGGTTGGTTTTTTTTCAGTATCTTTTCAAGGGGATTGTGCAGGTTCACTGATGAATGCTAACATTACACAATGTTTACCCAGGAACTAAGCTTGATGGAAACATTAATCAGAAAATATATAGGTTTACAGATTATAATGGAAGGTTTTGTAGCAACAGCAAGCCCTGGCATTCCCTGAACAGAAGCTAGAGATGTATGTTTGCCAAGAGAAACAGCAAGATGTGGCCAACAGTAGAATGTTTTGAGAAAACAGAAGCACAAGAACTGTTTCCAGTCTAGGTCATCTCTCGCCTCTCAGCACTCTCAGTTTACTTTTGAGCAGGTATATCCAGAAGCTGTACCCCAATTACTCATTGCAGTGAACCAACAGGAATCCAAGCACCCCTTTTATATTATTTCTGTTAATTTCATTGGAAAGAGAATGCATAACACTTGGAAAGATGTTTGGAGTTTTGCAATGCTGTTTTGCTATTGCCAGTGGTTTGATCTATCATGTAATAATTTCCAATGCAGTTCTGTGCAACTAATTGCACTGAATTAATTGCTGGTGTAACTCCGTCTGGTAGGAGTTCGTGAAGTTCAACTTCTGATGCCTCGGCCAGCCCTGTTTACTTTCCCTCTCCTATCACAGCAGCTGGGTCATAGTTTAGCACTGTACCAACAAGTTGGTGGCACACTGCAACTAGCTCCTCCCAGCTCGGGCAGCTCTCATTTAAGGCAGGACTCAACATCCAGAGCCTTTCCCCACACATACTTCCACTGCTACTGGCTGCTCATATGGAGCTTGTACCACAACCACCTTTTGCTCAGTTTTCCTGCATGGCTGTCTGCAGACTTGCCATCCTGTTCGGCCTCTCAGGCAGACCTTCAGGCTTCTCAGTTTCAAGCAGTGCTCATCCTCTGTCACATTAGTACACATTTCACAGAAGAGTCCAGCATGTCTTTTCATACAATCCATACAGTCCACCACTTCCACAGGTGAAGCAGAGCAAGCACCCTTCCAAAGGGCCATCTTGGAAGTCTCACCTTGCAAGTATAGCTGTTGTACCTCAGAGAACTGACACAGTGAGCACGTTCACAACACATTAGAGAATTACTACAGCCACACTGCCATGTGTATTGAAATTACACACAACTTTCCACAGGCACTGTAGATGAAAAGGATAATTCATTTGTGTAGAGAAGTGATTACTTTGCTGGAACAAGCCGTCCTGCCTATAGTTCCACCCAGGCTAAATTAATACCACAGCTCCTACTACACTTATGAGAGAGTAGGGCAGGAAAGTAGCACGTTAAATACAGGGCAATGCTTAATGTAACCACATGCATGGTTTACAAGAGAAGTTGCATACCATTTACTAAAGCAGTGAGTTGGGGTTTATTAGGTAAATGCCAGAGCTATTGCAAAACTGCAATGACCTTGTTCTAAACATTTTAATTGCATAGTTTTTAGCCAAAGCCCTTCTAATATATTGATGGCCATTTAGTGACATATACTACATATTAATAGTAAAAATGGAAATAGCAATGAACAGAATGGGTTGCACATAGTCATCAGGAGTGATTTTTCAATACAGAAATATGAAAATTACCCAGATTCAGATTTCATTGGTGCCCAACTTTTGCTCTTTTTTTTTTAGCTTTTTTAGACTAAAAAGTATTCCCTAAAATTTCACTCATTAGCTGCTGTCCTATAATTGTATAGTCCATAGTGAAGAATGCCGTGGCTTACCTCCCTTGTTGGCAGGGTCACTAATAGCAGTCTGGGCCCAGCTCCACTCTCTTCATACACCAAAGTTCCCCAGATAAAGACCCAGCCTACATGTCTCACCCCAAGCATAGTGTTTGTAAGCTTTACTGTACCTAAACCAAAACAATTTATCTTTTCAGGACCCTGGCATTCTCTGAAAGTGAGAGCATAATAGCAACTAGAGAAAAAAAAAAAAGAGAAAAAAAAAAAGAAAAAGGAGAGAATTAAAAACTGAGCACTGAATGATCTGATTGTACTTCACTGTGTAAAAATTATAAATGAAAAAATATCCATGCCTGGCAAATGCCATCAGTGGTGAAATCCTTGGCCCATATACAAAGGTCAACTTCCCTTCATACAGAGGGAGGTAGGATTTCAACTCAGGCTATATTGGGTAGTGCTTTCTTTGCTACTTTCACACCAGATCAATTATAATTGTAATCTTATGGTTGATTTATTCTTGTGTTGTATAACATTTGAAGGGGAAGGGAAGCTGACATTTGTTCAAGGGTCTCAAATAAGGGTAATAAAGTACAGTATGTACACTAAAAAATAGAATAGCAGTAAGTTATGAAATTGCTTATCTTTGAATGTCAATTAAAACTTGAAAGTTAGAAAGATCACTGTACGTATTTATAGCAAAGTCAATCTTTACTTAATTAGGCTAGGTGGTTTTTTTAAACTAGTGATACAGTTAGAACATTGTAGCTGTGTCTGCGCTTATATTGCTTTTCGCTCCTTCTGGATTTCTTGGTTAGTTTATTTTCCTTTTAAGTTGTTTAACTGAGCTCTTTTCTTTGCACAAAACATAAGCAGCTTCACTGCCTGAAAAACACAGAGCCCGCTTGTTCTCCTGCTTACACCAGTGCAAATCAGCAGTGATCCCACCATTCTATAGAAGTACATCAATGTAAAACTGACGTCATAGAGATAGCTATCAAAGCCCTTGTTTCAAAGTTAATTGTTTTTGCTTAAAAAAAAAAGAAAGAAAAGATGAGTACAGAACACATTTGTTCTCCTTCTCAACTGAAATGTCAAAGAAGCGCTGCAGTTTTGGCATCCAATCTGTGTGGGATTTGCACACACGGATCACATTTCAAAAACAGGGCCCTAGTCACAACCCATCATGTTAAGAGGCCATTTCCTTGATCCGATTTTAAGGAATGGGAGGGTTTTGCCCCTGTTTATTTGCTGCCATTGAGATGACTTTTTCCACTGTCCAGAGCCAGTAGCAAACTGTCCTCAGCTGTCAGCAATAAAGCCCCAGCAAGAAATACATGGCCCATTTAAGGCCATTCCTCACCTTTGCTTCACCAAGACAATCGCTTTGGACATTCAATGCTTTCAGATTTTTCCTTGGCAAATGAAACATCCATCATACAAAGACTTGCAATCCTTTTTTGTTTGTTTGGTTGTTTTTTTTCCTTTTTCCTCCCTTCTTTAAATAAATAGATAAATTGCTTGTGAAAGGGACTGAGTGGGGAGCAGGGAAGATGACATATTCACAGAGCTCCTCTGCTCTGAACTGCCTTAGGAGGCAGCGTCCTTAGGGTTACTCTAACTTACGGCAGATACCTTCCTACCATAAACTGTGTGAAGTCATTTTCTCCGCTTCCTCCATGGATCTGGTCACTGTAGCACTGATTCTTCATCACTGCTTTGTTATCAACCTTCTCATTCACCTCTCTTATGTCTGAAAAACTGGAAGCCAGCTGCTCATTGCAATGGAAACTTGCCCTGGTGACAGCCATCCATTGCCAAAGCGCAGTCAGTCATGCACAGCAGAGGTGAGCCAGGCTTGCATGGACACAATGGCAGCTCAGCACTGAAGTTGCTGCCAGAGCACCTGTGAACCCTACCACCACCATCACCACTCACATTATGCCACGTACTCACTGGCTGCTACCTGGCTGCTCCTGTTCCCGTTTACCCTCTGCAGGTTTCAAGCACTGTTCCTTGTTTGCACTGCAAAACTCCCCCTTCTGATAACAGTCTCCTCCAGCTGAGCAATAGGCACCCAAAAGCTTTACCTGGCAGCTTTTCCAGGTGGTTGTATAACACTGGATCAACAATACTTGTACAGCATTAGCAGGGATTAAACCTGCGCTCCTTACACAAGCCAGAGCCACATGTTTTAATTGACATAACCTGCCCCTCCCTCAAACAACTTTCATCAGAAAGTTCAAATGCAATGATTTAGAAATTACATTCAAATTGAGGTGTTGGCCTCTTTTGCATCATTACTCAAACACCAAAAGCACCATGGATGCTTTTTTTTATGTATGTATTATCTAGCAAAGCAGTACTCTGAAATTTATTTCTAAAATAAAGCACTTGAGCTGCCACAGCATGCACAGAACCTATAGTTTATGTCAAAGAGAAACCCCAAAGATTCCCTCATGCTTCTCTGGGATGAGTGAATATATATTTTCAGTAGTTACAAAGAACAAAATAGGCATCACATCAGAAACAAGGGGGAAACACACTAAGTAACAGATCATAGAACAACAGAATGATTTGGGTTGGAAAAGACATTAAAGCTCATTCAGTTCTAACCGCCTGCCATGGGCAGGGGCACCTTCCACTAGACCAGATTGCTCCAAGCCCTGTCCAACCTGGCCTTGAACACTGCCAGGAATGGGCCAGCCACAGCTTCACGGGGCACCCTGTGCCAGTGCCTCACTGCCCTCATAGTAAAGAATTTCTTCCCAATATCTAGTCTAAATCTACCTCTTTCAGTTTAAAGGCATTACCACTTGACCCTCAAACCCAGGGTCCTCACTGGTCCCCCACATTCTGTTCTTACCCACAGTTGCTAGGAACTGCTAAGGGCAGCACTGACCTTCCAGCTGTGGAGTTGAAGAAACCTGCGTATGCAGGTGTGCATTTCTTCTCTCTTTCAATGGAAGTTAAACAGCATTTCCTCCTCCTAAAGTATTTGTGTGAAACTCCCAGGCCATGTACCGTGTCAGCTATCATAAAAACAAACTTATCTGAAGTAAAAAGAAAAATCATGGGAGGAGTAGAAACTGAACACCTGCCTAGCACACATAGAAACTGTAGCTCTAGAAGGGTACATGAGGATGATGGACATGTAGTTTGATTATAAACTTCCTTCACCAATAGCCAGAATAGATGGTGGGGACTCATATCCCAACTGACACCTTCCCCTTTGCCCCAGGACAGTCCTGGGGGGTGACAATCAGCATTGTCAGCCCATTAAGGTTTCATGCCAGAGGTCTTCAAGGAGACTGAACCCCCAGAGGAGACTGCCAGAAGTGGAACACTGGCTGCTTTATGCACAGGAGTGAGAAAGGCAGTATTTACCTACTGAAATAGTTGTAGTTTAATCATTTATTTTTCATGGCACTTAGAGTCTCTGTTGAATAATGACAATCCACTGTGTGGCACTTGCAGCAGGCACAGAGGAGGAAACGTTTCCATAGAGGTTGTATCCTGGAAAGGCAGGGCAGAAACATATAAAGAGAGAGGAGTTGCAATGTTCATACTTTAAAAAAATAATACTAAAAACCCCCCACTCATTATTCACTATTTGTCATGTAGTCAAGAAATTTATTAAAACTCATTTTCATCCTGATCATATTGCAAACAAAATACACAGTGAAGGTTAAAAATAAATGGGTAGCTGTGATTCTTGATGTTTGTGATGTGGTAGTGTAAGTATCATTTGTCATTGAAAGAAGACAAAAATAAGAAAAATCATTAAGGTCAGTCAGAATACAGAGTGCAGAAATATAGGCAGGAAATGAGGGTTCACAGTAACCACTGGTGAGGAGCTTCACATTTTTAGTCAATTGGTTATTTTAATCTGGGGAGATAGTTTGCAGCTACACTCTTTCGCTCGCTTTTGGCAAAGGAGCAGTCATTACAGTACACTTGTATTTCAATGCATGAAAAGACAGAGCATTAAACATGTCTAAAATGCCAGTGAACCTTAGGGAAAATGTGTGTTGATTGGGATACTCTGTCCTCAACAGTACTTTCAACATGGAGAAATGCAGAATCACAATTAGAGGGTTGTTTTAAATTATATTCTGAATTTTCAAAAAACAAAGAAAACAACTAAAAAACCCACCTCATCCCCCATGCCGAAACCCCATCAACCAAAAAAACCCCCAAAAACCGAACCAAAACAACCCTGTCACAACCTCTCCCATGCTGGCTTCAGTTGCAACCCTCTCCTTGGCAGCAGTTCCATCGACTTCACTTAACTCCAGCTGCCTCTGAGATCGGTTCCAGGTTTTTTTCAATCCAGTCAGGAAAATCTGAAATACAAGTGATGCAGTACAGTTTGCTAACTTATAAAAGACCAGAAAGTCTGAAAAATTAATAGCAAAGGCTATAAAAAAGAATGAGAAATAAAAAATACATTACTGGAGAAACAGCCCTTTTCCCTTTGCTGCTCTGAATTCAAACACATGCATATTTTTGCATTAAAACCCATTAAACCCACTGCCTTTTCCATCTTTTCAGATTTGGTTTTGTCATCAGGTGTTTGCACATTACTTGAAGCACAAGCCTTCTAAACAGCCTCTTTTGGTTTATATATATTAACTGCTTCTGCTGTCAGCCAGAGGGAGATGTATCACCAGCAGGATAATACATAAAGCCAAGTGCCGTCTTGCCAGGGAGTGTAGAATAATATTCTGATTTTTATAGCACATTTTCTCTAAGGCCCACAAGGCACTTTACAAGTAAGATTGAATTAAGCTTGTCAGCACCCTGTATGGGAAGTAAATATTTCTTTCTCCATGTTGGAGAAGGGAAACTGAGGCATTAATATTAAGTCCCGACCAAAGCATTTAGCTGCGTGCTTTCAAGCCCTTTAAACTTCTCACATGATTTAATTAAGCACATACTCAAGTGTTTTCCTGGAATAGTGCCTAAGAAAGATGCTGTAGCCATGCTGCCAATTTAGGCTGCAGCTGGGAAAACACCACAGGTTCCCCATCACTCACACTTTAACAACAAAGACTGGTTTTTGTATGCCTTTTTCCCTAAAAATAAGGTCACATCTTCAAGTCTCACCTGTGTGGTGTGTTATCACCTGAGCCTGATATGAGTTGTGGAAGGTAATGTGCCAGCAGGAAACCTGGTTTGCAGGGCTGTGCAGGACACCAAAACCTTTGTGACTGCTGCTTGTCAGCGTGCTGCAATGGGGAAGTGTGGTTTACTGTTGGACAGTTTGGGGTTCAGAGTGCCAGGCTGCACTGTTTTGATTAAGCACATTGATATGAGATGCTTCAACACGTCAGCATACAGTGGTATTTCTGGTCGGTGAACATTTTTGATGATTCAGGTTTCTGTCTCTGGTTAAAACCCCGTGCAGCAGGACGCTGAACACAGCTCAGCTCTGTTTAGATCTAATCACAGCCCTGCCCCGACATCCTACCACAGCTCAGAGGCAGCTATCATGTCTCAAACCTGCTCTTTGGTATTTTGCTTCAATCCTGTTTTTTCCAAGTCTGCCTAGCTTACCTCTCATCACACTGATGAGCCTTTCCATCTCCAGTCTGGCTGTTGAAAGTTCAGATGGGACCTTGGGGTTTAGTTAGGGCTGGTACTCTGAGCTGGAGGGCTTGTGGCAGCTGCTCCATACCTAACCACACAATACTTCTGGGCTGAAATCCTTACAAAACTGGCAGTAAACTTAGATCCAAGTATCACGTGTGTCCTATTTGCTCCCTCTTTCCTAAGGGTAGGCTTCCAGCATAACACTGCTTTCCTAGAAATACCTACTGTCCAAGTCGGGGCTTTATTCTGCTGGCACACATGGGGCTGCCCCGGCCCCAGAGCATCACCTGTCTGTGATGCACCTCATGAAGGACCTGCACTCCCCCAGTAGTGCCTGCCTCAATCAGAGACAGTATTTTTCTTGCAGGGCACGGTGAGGCTACAACAAACAATGTGAAAGAAACATCCGGGTTCCCAAATGAATGCTAAGCTCAGGAAAAGGGACTGAATGCTAATGTGATGTCAGCAGAGGATTACATGAGCACATGCTCCTGAATATGAGATAAGCCTCATGTTCAGGAGCATGATGATAAGGGAGCATATCCCTAGATGAAAGCTGAGGGTCCCCTCAGCATTTCAGATGCTGTCATTCTGTTTTTCATCACACCAATGACCATAGTAACAGCCAAATAAACTTCTCTGTCCCTTATTGCATGTGAGTTCTTACAATTTAGTGTTTGTTCAGTGAGATGCAATGTAGAAGAAAAAAAGTGAAGCTTAGGAGAGGAGCAACTTAGAGCACTTCTAATGTGCAGTGCTATGAAAAACCAGGGCTGTATAACTCTTCAGGGATTTTAATCTTTTTTTAATACATATCCTCATACTGATGACCCCACATAAGCAAGCCTGACACCAAAGCAACCCTTTTAAATTAATATATACGTAATATGTCATTACTAACATTGTATATAGTCTAATTAAAAAGATAAGGAACATATAATTTGTCAGTTGTGAATGACACTTTGTGAGCTAATTGCCATAGGTAGACCTCCTTTAGAAGTGACTGAAGCTGAAAGAGCCAGCAATACCCAGCTGACAGAAAACCCACTGAAGTTAGCCTGATCAGTGGCAGTCAATGTTGCCACTAATTTCCCCCTCCAGAGGTGCAGGCAAACCTCCACCAGCTTGAGAAAACTGTAACTAATTCCAAATATTAACACCAGGAAGTAAACCCTCAAACCTCACAGCATTAATTTTCAATGAAAAAGAACTACAGGTGATGGTATTTGGAATGTTTCATGTGCTTGCTGGTTCTGAAGTTTTTAGTGCTTACCATCATGAGATTTCTTCTGATTTTCACAATAAAAGGGATCGAAGCATCCTCCCAAGTGAAAGTACAGTTGTACTTGTGTGCTTCTAGCTGGTGAGGCTTTAGGGAAAGGCTAATTTTGTGAGACTTCTGAACAGAAATAGAATATAGGCTCATTGTTAGGGATATAAACACATTGAAAAGTTTCCATACCTGGATCAGAGGAGTTTGGATCATATCAGGTATACTAAGAGGAGCCTGCTGAAACATCTGATCCACGTCCAACCCCTTTTCCAAGCTCTCTGGCAGAGCTGGGGCTGTGGCTACAGCCCATCCCTTGCATCTTACAGTTGCGATTCAGTGCCTATTTGAGCCACTCACAGGGAGATGCTGCCCTAGCTCCACTCCCAGCCCCACACTGCCACCTCCTTCACACATCCCTTTGCCTTCCCAGAAGGAGCTGGTGGCAGGTTGGGAAGCAGGGCTGGTAGATGGACCTGCTCCCAAGCCAGGGGTCAGCTTCACCCTCCAGGGCAGCTGTTGGGCTGTCATCACATTTTACATCCCCAAACATAGAAGCCTTTTCTGTTTGGAAAGCATCTCGCATCTCCTCGCTACTCTGAACATTTGTGCTTCCCCAGGCACCTTTGCTGTTTCTATCTCCATTGTTACCTGCACGTCATCTGCATGTTCCTATCCAAAACAAATATGCAAAGTCTCACAGCACCTTTGCAAAGCCACCCAACCAAAGGGGCCAGTTCTGCACACAAAGGGAAGATGAAGGCTTTTCCTTCTTGTGTAAGGGACTACTTTAAATCACATTTTTCCTTTAGGCTTTCATCCAGAGTATTTCCCAAGAAGATTATTTATCTTGTTTATTCGCTCTGGGACTCCAGTGATCCAGACAAGTTGGATAACAGGAGAAATCAGTTCTGCTGGTAACTCCACACTCCCTTACCACGGTGTGTAATTCTCCAAGGACAAGAGGACAGATCACCAGAAGCCACTTGTACATCAAACAATTCAAGCCTGGCTCTCAGAGGAGGTTCTGAGGAGGCCCCTAGATTGTGGGTTGTGATGCCCTGAAGATGAACCATGGGTTTGGGGTGGCTACTCTATATACTTTTCAGCATGACACTAACCTTCATGTGCATTACTTGGGGCCATGCTCTTCTGCAAAAATCCAGATACTTTCACTTTGTATATCCTCATACACTCCATGGATCAGGGGTGTGCTGGGGAGGGCAATACAGACAGCTCTCTGAAGGGTTGCCCCAAAGCACCTGAGCCATGTGCTCCCTAAGGTGTCTGCCCATTCCCAGCATGGCTGGGCTGTGTCAGGGTCTCACCCTTTCCAGGCTGCTGAGCTGAGCAGCAGAAAGGGCTGGTGCTTTCCAGTGTGAATCACAACGGCTCATTTGCTATTTTCAGTGACTGCTAAGAATATGACAAATTTTCTCTTATTCTAGTGAATCCAGCAACCACACAGTCTTTCACTACCATAAACAGTAATGTCCAATCCAGGATTTAAATTAGATCCAGGAAACCTCTGCTGGCTTTTCCTGTATAAAAGAGGGCTTTTAAAATAAAAAAGCAGTTCGAATGTGGCTTTAGAGTCCCAGACTGCAGCCCCGGGTCTGTCATAAGGAGAAGTGTCAAATATCACGGATGTTTGTTCAAAAGGAAATTACTAAAGCAACTGTTATTTTAGAAATATACTTGCACATTTTATAGAGTCAGAGGTCAAAACACAGACAAACAGGGATCTTCATGGAGCCAGGGTTTGTCCCAGAGGGCTGAAGCTAAATGGTTGCAGCGAGGCAGGAGAGGGGTGCTCTGGGCTGCAGGCAGAGCTCTGCCCCTGCTCACCTCAGCTACCACCTGAGGGAGCAGCAGAGGATTGAGAAGGGCCAGGGGGACTGGAAATACAGGTGGACAGTTTTGCCACTGGTTAAAGCTCATGCTCACCCATTTGGTATGAGCCCTTCTCATGACATAATTTGGAGAGGCTTCCCTCAGCAGATTTTGATCCATACACTGCAGTAAGACTGGGAGGTGCCATGGAGATGCGGCACTCTGGCAGTAGTGTCCCCCAGTCTCAAGGCTTGAGGTCTTGGTCTTTCCCCCGACACCCTGGGATGCTGCCCAGTGTGTGACACACTGGGATGCCGTTTCTGTTCATTCTTTCTGGCACACTTAGGAGTCCACTGAGCTGCTGAGGTAGCTAAACTCTGAATTGGCACAGAAAAGCTCCCCACATCCACATGGACAATGTCTCCAGAAGGCTGAAGGAGAAGAGGAATGAGCAGGTAACCTGTGATAACCAATAGAGACACCTCCCCCCTACCTGTTAGGGGCAGGACTGCTCCCAGGGCTGAGCCCACATCCTTCTCTGTCCCTGCAGTCCAGGCAGAAGAGGTTGAAAGGAACAGGCAAGGCAATATCAAGGGCATCCTGGCTGCAGAGGACATGGAAGAGCATGAAGAGATCACACAGCAGAAATGGCCCTGCACACATCAGAGTTGGAAGGAAGAAAAGGTACTTGGTGTAAGCCCCATGGATTTGCCCAGAGAATGCAGCAGCAAAGCTGCAGCTGCTGTCAGCGTTAAAAACACAGAGCTAGGAGAACACTTGTGACAATGGAAGATCTTACACACAGTAGGATGCTTATTTGTAAGTATGCCATTATCTGTAAATCTTCACATATGTAAATCCCTGATTACACATCGGAAGAAGTCCATACGGAAGAAAAGTTTTAGGAACTGCTACTAGTGATGTATTAGATGTCAGAGCTCACTTGGTGGTATCTGGGAGAAGGATTGGCATTAGTATGTAGCAGTGGTGATCTGGAGTGGATGCACATCAAGCATGTAGCAAGAGCTCCCTCAGCAAAGCTGTCACACCAGCACTCAAAAAAATCAAATGGTTTTCTCCCAAGTTTAGTAAGGGAGAGACTGCAAAAATAGTCCATGGAGTGCCAGCAGCGAGTGTGGCTGCAGCCAGCCTGGGAAAGGAAGGAAAGAGAATGAGAGTCCAACCTTACTGCTTCACCAAGAGCTACGCAGGAGTGCAACAGGGACTAACACAGGACCAAGATACAGTATGGACCAGGCAGGCAGAACTGACCTCACAGCCTGTATGAAGTGAAAACCACTTGTGGGGACAGTCTTGTTTGGCATCTGACTTTGTCCACCTGGGTAGAAGACAGCCATGGGGCAACAGGTCAGTTCCAGTGGATGGCTGCTACTGCTTCCTCTTCCTTTCAATACTTAATGTCTTTCCGTTGGTGATGTGTTAACATTTTCCTCAGAGGAAGCCTATGAGGTGGTCAGTGAGCTAAGGAGCCTTCAGGGCTTCTCCTTCCCACTACACTGACAAGGTCCCTCACAGTTCACTGGGCAAAAAGCCTGCTTTGCCTAAATAGCTGCTTCCTTATCCCTAACTTGGAAAACTGGGGACTTGTGCACACTTCCACTTGCCAAACCTGAGCCTGAAATAATACTGCAGCTTGTTTTGGCTGCTTTCATGTTCCTGCAAATGATTTAATATTAAATCAGAAAACCTTCATCTGAACCCGTGCTCACCTGGCAGCAGCACTTGTTCGCAATCTTAGACATTTGCAAACCAATGACTGGCTTGTAACATTTTTCCAATACACTCTTGGATATTTTAATTACTTTCTTTGATGCTAAAATTGTTTTACCAGTGATTGGGAAAGCAGAATTGAGCAACAGTACCCAAATATCTATATTAAAATAGCAAACTACCTTGTAGTCTCTAAAGCACTTGGAAACAATCTAAGATTTTTGGAGCCTGTGTAGCAGCATGTGCTATTTCCTATGTGGAATTTCCATAGTTCCTCAATTACCTGGAAGAATCAGCCATTTTAATCAAAACCCTAAGGGTAGATGAAATCATGAGAAAACACGAGCTTTATTGCAATGGATATTGACTGTAACTCATTAAGATGTTAAGGTATTGACATCCCATTTGATGAGAAAAATGTCTGATAGCGAGTGTACATAACTGTGTTACGGAGAATGCTGGTATCAACACATCATAATGAGTAACTAATGATGTCTGTGGCCTAACGAGGTGATTAAAGCAGTATCCTTTGATCTATGTCACTGGCTTGATTTAATGCCATGCCAAGATTGAATCTCTGCACACCGCTGGGGAGATTCAAGTAATTTGAGTAATTCACTGGCCTTGTCCCCGCATCGCTGGGGACTTCTGCAATGAACACAGTTGCTTCTGTAGCCAAGTCACCCCAGGCAGCACATGCTGCCAGGGGAGAGGGGGCTGCTCCCTGCCTGCCCACAGCCCCTTGCAGGGGTCACTGCTGCAGGGCAGGGGGCTCACACAGCTTCCTGCCGTTGGCCTTCCTTTTGCCTCACAGTCCCTGCTCCTTACAGACCGACCACTGGCAAATTTGGGAAGGATCCTCTGCTGAGAGAGGTTCTTAAAAATATGCTTTGCTACCTTTTGCTACCTGTGCCAGGCACAGCAGGGGAGAGTCACACTACTCTGAGCCGCAGGGCTTTGTGCCCAGCACATGTTCAAATCACCAACCTTGTCCACCAAAAGAAAGCTTAAGTGCAGTTCTATGAGCTGGCAAGAGGAGCGCCAGGAGCCCAAACCTGCAAGTGACATCAGAGATGTAGAAGCTTTGCCCATGGTCACAAAGTGATGTAGCTTGGCTACTCACTGCCAGCTTAGATCCTGCTTCTACTTTCAAACATCCAAAAACCTTTTCACCCTTACAGGGAAGGACTCATTAACTTTCTCATACACATTATAGCAGCTCTTTCAAGCAGCCTTGCCTACCTTCAGACAGATCCTGGCTAAGCAGTGCTGCTCTAGGGACACAGCTGCTAAGTTTTGGGCTGTGCTTTGTTCATAAGGATACCAGAACAAAAGAGTAGCCACCATCGGTCAGACTAAAGGTCCTTCTGTGTGACCTGAGGGACAACAGTGGGTGCCCAGGACAAAGCACACAGGAACAGCTCACCTCTGTACTCCTCCTGCTGCCAGCAAGCTTCGAGTGGTTTATGTGTCAGTAGCCACCATGGAGTTCATTCACATGAGACATTTATACTTTGCATTGCAGTCATTCTTCCTAATGAAGCTGATAACAAGGATTAGTTCTCCCTCCTGATCATCTTTAACCTAAAGTGATTATTAGTACCAAAAGCATAACTGAGAATCAAACTCCAGACACCTGCCTTGCGCAGGAGATTATTTTGCTTGATGAATAGGCAGGTTTTTACAAAGAGCTTTTTCCTGTACATCAGTAACAGTGCCCAGCTCCAAGACACATGGGTGTGTGGTGCTGCTGTCTCCATCCTGCAGTGACTGTCACCCAGGGAGAGCAGCAACCCAGCACTGGGTGCTCTGCAGCTGCTCTCCCCGCACCAGTGCCCCTGGAGCCCCAGTGGGGAGAAAACCACTCAAGGCTTGTTCTGGAACAGCCCTGGCCTTTGGGCAGCCCCAGCACAGCCACCCCCTGTCCTGGTACCTGCTGGGAGCCCCCTCCCCGCAGGGGTGTTCCCTGCTGTGGGTCCCATTCCCGCAGGTAGCACCTCCCTCAACCCCCTGCCTGCCTCATTGGCCTTCCTCCTGCTTTAGGATTTCAGCACTTACTGTTAATTCATAAAGTTGACAGCAGCACTAGTCCATTCAAACAGGGCACCTGAGCCACCGCCCCGCACATCCAAACACAAAGCCCTGAACAACTAAAGCAGCCATGGCCAGGCCCCCTTGCTGAGAAACTATGGCCCATGCCTGGCAGCTTTATTGGCTTGGGCTGATCACCTGCAAATGGGCTGCAGCTGATGCATCACCCTGTGCTGCCACCGCGGTGGGCCTTATGCCACCTAAGTGGGTGAAGGCAGCACCCAGCCACCGCTGCTTTGTTCCTCACTCAAATGAGAGGGAAATATGGGATGGGAGGTGAAGAGAGATGTCACTGCCAGGGACCTGCTGCAGCTGAGCCAGGCCTGGAGAATGGTCCCCACAGCTGCCCAATGGGCTTCAACTGCTGTGGCATTTCCAGATCATTTTGTCTAGAAAAAAGCACTTTGCTGTGTCCCTGGAGGTGTTCTTCTATCCTGGGTGAGGATGCTGCACACAGCAGGGTATGCTGGAGCCCTCACTTTGCACTGTGGCCCTGGCCAGCACCACCCCACAGAGGTACCAACATGACTGAGTGGCAGATATTCCCAGGCTTGGTGTAAACTACGCTACAGAGAGCAAATCCCACAGGCCCTCCTGTAGACAAAGGACATTCCTGGCCTCCCACCTCCCCTTTGCTTTTGTTCTTGCCCTGGATGTGGGTTACTGGTGATGCTTTGGTTTCTGGCGTGGTCTTGGGATACCAAGCCCAAGGGGAGCCCTCTGAATGGATGCTCTCAGTGCCTCCCTCAGCTTAGCAGTAAAAAGAAATTGCACGTCAGGGCAGAAGCTGCAGGCGCTTCCAGAGATAAAATATCGTCAGTAGAGTCCAGACCATCCATCAGAATAAATGTAGCTGATGCCATGATTTATGGGAGGAAGATGAAGGTTTAATCCTCCTCTCAGCAGCGCAACCTGATTTGCCACAAAACCCTGTTAAATTCTGTGGCACACGCTCCATCACTTCATTAGGAGATAGAGAGAAAGCGGTTCAATGCATTGCTGAATCTTTTACAGCGGGGGACCCTCCTCCCACCACTCCCGAGTGATGGGTAATCTCTCTGATCAGATCCCCGGGAAAAGACCCTGTGGGATTACAGAGTGCGGAGGCATTAACAACAGTGACAGGAAAGGAATACAATATCCCTTTAAACAATTAAATATTGATCCTAGTGGCCTGAGGTGGACTCCATCACACAAAAGGAAACACCTCAGTGAATTAGTTTGGCGCCATCCGTACCCTAGGACGGTACGAAGGAAACCGACATTATTTGCTTCACTTATTTTCTTGATGTTTTTTTTTTCCCCTCAGTTAGAGAAATGCGCCTGGTGTGAGCTGCACTCCCCTTTCCACATGCAGCATGCGCTGCCCTGGAGCGCGGCGGGAGCTGGGATGGGGGCTGCAGAACTCAGCATGGATGGAAGCAGGAAAGAAGACAGAGCACCATGAAGCCAGGGTGCTGGTTTGTGTCCCCCTTCCGTGACCCCCACAGGAGAGCTGTACATGGAGAAACAAAAGAAGGCAAGAAATGTCTAAATTTAAAGTGCTGGAAAATCCAACCTTTTATTTACTACATTTTTGTGACTACATAAACGCTGAAACATTGTAACGCTGAAACATTGTAACACTGAAAAGCATGATGACATCATCACTTGCTTTTTTCTTTTTTTTTTTTATCTTTTTCTTTTTTTTTCCTTTTTTTGTTGTTTTTTTCTCTTTTTTTTTCTTTGCTTAGCAAACACAGCAGATGATATTGCACGGCATAAAGTGAGAACAGTAGCAAAGCTTAAAAAAAGTAACTGAAAGAAATCTTAACGCAGTACAGGAGATACTCATAACCAAACCAGAATAATGCCTAGCGCATTACACTTGTCATCGCTACACACAAAAATACAGAAGAAGAAGCGCTTGACTAAGAGAGAGAGATTGAGGAAATATCAGCAATCAACCGTAATTAGGTACAATAATCACTTAGTCTGAAATGCAGATGCAACGCATAAACTACTACTGCTTCCTAATGGGCAAACTAAAAATGACAGCAACGTTGTTGTTTATCAAAATCTTCGCTTGGTTTCTTTATTTTTTTTTTTTTTTTCTATTTTCTTTTTTTTTTTTTTTTTTTTTCTCTTTTGGTTTTGTTTCATTGCTCTGGAAGAACAACTCCCTCTTGCTCTTGGAAGAATTCCTACCTCTACGGATCTGGGACCTGTGATTGTCTCTGGCGCCCTCTTTGCGCGGCAGCGGATGAAGCTAACAGGGAGGCGGGGGGGGGGAACGGGGGGACGACAAGGGGGACCCAGGCTCCGGCTCAGCTGGGACTGGACTGTGGGCAGGGGGTTACGAAGACAACTACCAAAGCAAGTAAAACACAATGCTTTAACGTTTATTTTCATTTAATACTGTTGTTCGGGTCAGACTGCAAAACTAATGTGGTTCCATGGGGAGGATGAGATAAATGCAGAACAGGCTGTGAAAAGTCAAAGTACTGGAACAGGAAAGGAAACCATGTCTTCATGAGTACGGTTCTGTCCAGTGCTCGATGGCTCATGCTGGATTCGTAGACTAAAACTTTGCCTCCCCCCTCTATGTGAAGCGTAACTCATTGCACGGCATTAATTTAGGTATTAAAACCAGACATTTAGCCAATGCTTACCAACAGACCATTTAATGATCCTGCATTTCAGAGCATCTTTATTGCCCCATTTCAATACTTGAAGTACAAAAATGTATCTAGAAAGTGTAACTTCTGACCAAAAGCTCAAATCCTGCCCTTGTCCTTCCCTCCCTCAATCCCTCTGCTATCTCCCCAAAGGAAACCAAGGTACACCTGGAGCTCAGCTACCATGTGGGGAAAGGAAATATTTACAGTCATCACAAACCATGTCAGTACACAACATTTAGTTGAAACAGAACCTATTTTTTACGCAAATAAAATACAGGTGAGTGGCATCCTATTTCTGTGCCATGATGCCATCATCAGCTTTGCAGAATTATCATTGTCATTACTCCTTTTTTTATTTTTTTTTTTTTTTGCTTTTCAACTCAAAACTGCTTTTTCCTCCCTCGAGCTGCGGGCGCCCAGGGCAGACCAGCACTGGTCCCCTCAGAGGGATGCTGTGCCGGTCCCCTCAGAGGGATGCTGCACAGGTCCCTCCCAATTCTCTGGCAGCCAGGGCACTGGGGGTCTCCCGTGGTCCCTGAGCCTGGATGCAGCCACAGCTCCCAGGGGACTCGGCAGCATCCATGGACCCGACCCATCCCTGCCTGGGCCCTGGCTGGAGAGCAGGGACATAGCGGTGGCCCAAGCCCTCGAGCACTCTCTGAGCCGGGGTGGCTGGCACAATCCCATCACCCGCTGCCCCTTGGACATCCCGCATGCATCCCAGGGAGGAGAGCCCTGGGTGCTGGGGGACTGGCGAAGGCCTTTCCGTGAGCAAGGCTTCCAAATTCAAGTTAGCTTTTCTCCCAAGGCGTACGCCCGCTACTTGCGCTACCCGTGTGAATGGCGAAGGAAAACAAAAACTCAGCAAAGTCTCTCACAAATGCCAGTGCTTTTAAACATTAAACGACTTTTAAATTCTTTGGATGTGTGGGTCTCACCCACAAAGCAACCTCTCTAGAAAAAGACAAATAAATTAAAGGAAAAACACACTAATAATGCCTTTCTGCTTTCTAAGTGACAAAAGTACTACCTTGAAACACTCATTTTGGCATGTACAAGTTGGGGAGAAAGGAGGCCCGGGGGGATAACCTGGCAGTGTTTGTAACACGGGTGGAAGTGCATGCCAAGACGAGGCTGAAGATACACCCTGCAGTCAAGAGAAGCACTCTCCTTCAGTTCATCTCGGCATCAATAATGAAAAGATTGTAACATAAAGCTTTGGCCATTTTTGAATCTACTATATACATTTTTTTCTTTTTTTTTAAACTACATAGTCATAAATTAAAGCAGTGATTAAATAAGCGTATACAAAATGTAATTAAATTAAAGTCACAGCACATTATAGAGAAAAAATAGGAACCATTTATCACAGCAGAGAATATCTTTTTTTTACCCTGTGAAAAGAACATCGACTAGCAAACACAAAGCATCCTAGTTGAAACAAAAGAAATCGAAGCCACGTTTCCCTTTCTTGCATTCATTGCAAACAGCTATCTTTACCCACTTTGAAACATTCCCAGGAATAAGATCTTCCTTGAGTATAACAGAGAAGTTCTGCCAAAAAAAAAAAAAAAGAGGAAAAAAGAAGAAACCCAAACCAAACGATATAAAAGGAACATACAAACAAAACAACCCCTACAAAATAAATAAGAATTATAAAGCTTTTTTTAAGTAACCTTAACAATTATCAAACTAGTAAGTTCTGCCTTATCACATAGACTCTCTATACAACATAACCCTAAAGATTTATTACTATGAGGTATTTGGAGGAATTGGTAAAAGCGATGCACGGCCTGTCTGGGCTGAGGGACTCAAGCTGCTTTGGGGGAAAGAAGAGGGAACCTTTGGTTTGTCAGCAAGAAAGTGGAAAAAAACATTTTCCTTTGGTATCAAAGAAAGTTTCATTGCATGGTTGCACGGCAAAAAGCACCACGGTGAAGAATTATTCCTTTTTTTCATTAGTGGCCTTTCTAAGAGGCTGAGGTATTCAAAGAGTATAAGGTGAGAGATAAAGAGGTCAACAGCGGTTTAACACTTTGGTTCAAGCAAGGCACTCGTCCTATGAGTTTACAAAGTTTGCAACATGTTTGCCTAGAGCTTTATTATTATTATTATCCTTATCATCATCAGTAGTAGCAGTTGTAGCAAGAGAAGCATTCGTAAGGTTATTAGCATTACCATTAAGAATGAAGACAAGGTTACACACTGAGTGAAGGTGAGGAGGAGGGTCAGGGGTAAGAAGGAGGATGAGTTCCCTTTCCAGACTGAGGCCGTGCATGAAAAATCTTTGGTATTCTTTGGTATCATCAATGTGATTAAAATCACCAATGGAAATCGAGTGAGGTAGCGTCTTTGGTTCACACTATAAATAGTAGATCTTTACACACTTTTTTTTTCTTTTTTTTCTTTTTTTTTTTTTTTAACACGTGGAAGTAGCTATTCCTTACCTTTTGCTTCTTTGTCTTTAGCAAATAGTTACCAAATGTATTGTAAAGCTAACCACACCACAATAATAAACCAGGAGGCTAAGCAAAGTCTCAAAATTAGCCCCTGGGCCTTTGAATGCACCCAAACGCAGCAAGATAGAAAAGGGTAAGTGCTTTCTCTTTGTTTGCTAAATGCATAGTTATCATCCTTATGTACAAAGGAGGAGGAAGAGGAGGAGGATAGGAGGAAGAGTAGTAGAAAGAAGGACCGTTTCTCGGGGTAAAAATGTCTTGTTTACAACTCAGGTGAGGAGAGGTGTCCTAAGACTCTTTGGTATAAGCTCAGCAGTGTTCCCTCCAGGCAGAGCCCGCCACCACCACGGCCTTATCCTGAAATCCTTCTCAGGAGAAGAGCAGTGCCCGCGGCAGTCCTGGGCCTGGTCCCGTGACGGGGCACCCTCAGCCACTTTGGCTGCTTGGGAATTCACTTCTGCCATCGGTGGGAGCAGGAGCAAATTCTCAAGCAAAAGCCCTGTTCCTGGCTGGCTCTTGTTGGGATTGCTTTACCTGAGTAAGGAGAGGAGGCTGATGCCCCTGAAAGCAGTGCGGGTATTGCGGCAGAATGGGTCGCTCTGAAGGGGGGGTATTTTTTTTGGTTATTTTTCTTTTCCTGGAAAGCTAATAATGCCATTTACAATGGGGATGGATGTGGACAGTTCACCTCTCGGCCAGCCTCCCCTCGTGGGTTACTGTGGTCAGGTTTGGATACAGGCTATGAGCCGAATGAACGCTCCTAATGCCCTCTCGCCCATGGAGTCACCTTTGACTGAAGCCCCATCTCCTGGTGCTCCCAAATGGTTTCAGGTTCTGCTCCCTCTCCTAAACCTTCCTGGCAGATTTTTAGGTCCCTTTGTTGAATTTGAAACTATTTTATCAGGAATGAAGTGAACCAAAAGACTTAACACTGATAAGACAGAGATAGGCTTTCCTGTGTAACGTTAAGCACAGCATCAGAAAGGAGCCCCCTGTTAAGGATGCCCTTGCTGAGGAATGGCAATGGTCCGAGCCAGGGAGCACCAGGTAACCTGTCCATGCTTCAGTCGGTGTGGCCGGGCAGTCTGCTCAGAGGTAAATGAGCTTTACAGGTAGAATGAGCAGTTCCATAGTTATTTGCTTCATATTTTGAAAATAATTAAAGAAAAGTGTGTTCTTTGCCTGTTCGGAGTATGAGGCGCATATTGCTCACGGGAAGAGTGGTTTTGTTCCTAATGGCTTATAAAAAACCAAAACATTTCTATGTACTTAAACAGACATGTAAAAAAACCCAAACCACTTAAAATCTACAACTTGTGCATTGGGTTTTGTGTGTGTGGATACATGTGTGCACATGTATACATACAGCACCCCATAATAATGTGTGTGCTTGTATATATACACAGACCTATTGAGGGACTTGCACGTGTGTGTATCAGAGATCCTGAAATTGCATATTGGGTGCAAATTTAATGCTGGTATGAAAGTTCTCTTTGGTTTCAGCAAGTAGTCTCTAAAGACAATACAATGGAAATACTAAAAAATGCGGCAATGTACTTTGAATTTCCCTGCATTTTTAAATTCTCAAGTTTTAAATAAATAAGGCTCTCTTTTCTAACCTATAGGTACGTTACAAAGCAGTGTTTTGCTGGAAAGAAACCTAAAAAGTTAGTTATCACTGTCCTTTATTAACCTTGCACTAGTGAGACTGCATCCATAAGATACTTTGTATGTCAGCTTATTAATGTTTCCATGTCAATTATGTCTCTGTGTGGATGGAACACTTTAAAAGAAAGCTGCTAAAATTTAAGGTAAGCTAGAGACTCAAAAAACTCACAGATTAGATTATGTTTTCACGGGCAATTGTTTTGTCAGTCTTAAAGTGGGTTTAACATACGGAAATGGGGAGAAATATTCAGTGCCAAAAAGCTTGGGTTTATTTCGCTTTATTTTAATATAGAGATATTTCAGCTGTATTCTAAGCACTTACTGGAAATTAACTGTATACCCTGAACCTTGACTAGACCCTGTCCTCTCTGGGAAATAACTGGTGCTACAGAATTGCTTAACTTTGGTGTTGCTATTATTTTGAGTGGGATTCATCCCAAAACCCAGTATCTGATTTTGGTGGTGGTGGCTGGGTTCTAGTTTACCTTGAATTTTCCTTTCTCTCTCTCTTTTTTTTTTTTTTTTAATTTTTTTAAATTTTTTTTTAAGGGTGTAAGTAAGAATACCTATTTCTAATCCTTGCTTTGGGCTTAATCGTGCATATTTGGTTACTCTGGAATTTAATATACCTAGCAGAATTACCTCTGTAATTTGAAACACCAGTTAGAAATCTAACAGGCACATGTATGGTTTTTAAAGTCTATTTTTCCCTTACACTAGAATTTAATATGCAGATGTTGCACGCTCTTCTTTTTAATTTCATCAGAGTAGGAATGGGATGATTTCTCTTCTATGGGTCTGTTAGCAACAGAGCATTTAAAGCTTTTCAGCTACAAATGTTAAACTATTTCATGCATTATCCTGATTAATAGATGAGCAAGAAAGAATGCACAGGACAAAAGCTCAGCCTGCTAGACACAGATAGGAAGCCACAAAACATCAGGCTGCATCTCGGTGTCATGGGAATTTTGCTATTGACTTCAGAGGCATCACGATTCGGCCTCCTGAAACCACTACTGCAGCTCCTGTTGGAGCTCTTCTCACAAGCATTAACTGATGTTGTACCACCTTTTTCAATAGGAAAAGACCACGAGCCTTCAAAGCTACTGCTGTTCCTTTGCCTAGTAAAGTCAATAGGTAAAAAAAGCTCACTAATGTCAACGAGTATTGATCAGATGCTGAGCCCTGTGGTTTTACATTTCGTAATTCGTTTCATTTTTGCATACAAAGTGCCTCAGGTCTCCTGTTTGCAGGCTAGATGGCAGAGCTGAGCTGCATTTATATACAATGCACGGTTTGCAAAGAGCGCTGTTCAATGGGCTTCCAGCAATGTCAGCCTGGGAGACGGTAATAAGGGGATGCAGGTACGATAGCTGCCACACTGCCTTACACGTGGCAATAGCGGCCCTTCTTTTGCTCCCAGTGCAGTCAGCAGCAGAAGGGCTCACTGACTTCAATGGAAGCATCATCCCTTTATCAGTATCTGTGCTCCAAAAGGGGCTGTAATCTCCTCAGATGACATTCTTTCTTGCCAATCACGGAATTAGTGGTTTTACTAATTGTAAATAACAGTCTTGATTACAAGTTTTATGTGTTATACAGTTAGATTAGTTTATACCTATAACTCTACATAGTATTTTGTGTAAAAATAGCTTTGGAATAGTAAAATCATTGCAATAAAATACCTGCAATATAATTATTAAATGTGTTCTTTGGTAGCTAGTCGATTTTTTTTTTTTTTAATGGATGGAATAGTTTTCCTTTTTTAAATCTGAACATTCCTTAACAAACAAAGAGAATGCACTGGTTTAGGTACCATTCAAAATTTCTTTGCCTAGTTTGAACTTGCTTCCGGGCATTGCACCAGTTAAGTTCAAACCATGAAACAGCAAAATTCACACTACCGTTCAAATGAATTCAGACGACTCCACGCTTTGTCAGTCGTGCCATGGCACAACCCTCTCTGAAGACCAGCCCTGACTAAGTCCCTAACCACTGGTGTGTACGTTATACACCTTCATGGCAATTGCTGTGGAAATGAAGAGCCATATCTGAAGAGATGTCCGTTCAATGACAAGAAATCACTATGCTCCAAACCACTAAACAGCCAAGTACGGTGAAGATGAGAATGGGCAAAGGTGTAAAACCAGTGGTCTGCTTTTCTTCTCTTTGCATTCCATTTTGTTCCCTCCATTTCACTTTCTTCTTCCTCTGTTCTTTGCAAGTCGTCGTCCTACTAAAGTGTGTGTCTTAGAACAAAGTCATAATGCAGGTGAAATAAGTCTTTGGTTTCTTTGGACTTATAAATAACATTTATTTCAAATAGTTCTAAGTATAAACCTGCTATCTTGAGGTCCTGGTCTGTCTTTATTTATTTATTAATTTTTAAAGCTTTTCCACCGAGGTTTAGTTCGTGGTTATTCCTTCATGCTTTGGTACAAGTGCTTGATGAAGAAGATGAGTTGCCTGAATTGGAGCTGCCCTCGTCTTGCCACTTATCCAGACTCCTCCTCCGTGCATTCATGAAAAAGTTGCTGACGGTGCTCAGCTCCAACCCAAGCTGCTGGGAAATGGTGATTTGTAATTCTTTGGACGGACGCTTATTTTCCTTGAATATTGCATGTAGAGTTCGACGCTGGACATCCGTGAAGACCAACCGAGGCTTTTTGGGTGTATTCCCTCTATCCTTCCCGTGCTCTTGTTCTTTCCTCTTGCACGCTGCAAGAAAGGGGAGGATGGTTAGAGAGGGCTGGCAGAAGAGTGCACTGGTACACAGAACAGGACAAAAGGGATACAGGATTGCTCATGTCAGCTTCCAAATTTGGAGATGATTTGTGACACGTTTTAACTTACTATAAACTACAAAAAGAGATAAGGAATAGAAGTTAGAAAATGCTTTTGTTGTTGTCTGATAAAACTCAGCAAATGCTATTACATTTTAGTAACAGACATTACTGCTGGGACTATAACTATGTAATATTCCTATGAGGTGGAGTGGAAATTCACTGAGCTCTAAAATCAACCTTGCCAACCTCTTCAACCTTCATTATTTGTTGTCAATCCATTTCTGTAGCTTTTTATTGGCTAAGAAATAAGGAACTGGGAGAAACCAGGATGCTACTTACACACCAGATGATTACATACTCTGAACAAAATAAACCATGTTTCAACATGCAGAAAAATGATATCGTAAATGTTCTATATAGAATTTCACCTTATTTCATCTATCATCCTTTCTTTCCTACTCAGAACACTATTTTTGCTCTACATTACTAAAAAGCACTCAGAATTTGAATCTGCCTTGCAGATCACCTGCCAGTTAGGATCCAACAGGATGACAGAGTGACTCCCGGATTCCCCCCCACCAGCCTTTGACCAGTTCATCTTGTTAGCATTTTGCTAGGATAAAGGTTTCCTTGGGAGGGCAGATTGCTCTGCCTCACTTTCAGAAGAGTCTGAAGTTTGTTTCCCCCTTTTTTCTCTAACAATGACCTTTAATACTGATTTAGAGATGCATTTCTGAAGGTAACAAGGATGTTTTGTCTCTGTGCCTGCCTAGTCCTGAATTCTGTTGAGATCAGTGCTGATTATATGAAGAAGAATTTTGTGCACCTATTCCACAGTTATTGGAATGAAAACAGCAAATTACTTTACAAAGGTCCTTCCTACATCTTTTATTGCAACCAAGAGCCAGCCTTGGCATGAGGGTTTAATTGCTTGAGGGAAGTATAAAAATAGTCATCCACCTTTTGTATTTAGAGAAACAGCAACTGCACAGATCAGACAGCAAGATTCAGGAGATGCAAAGGCGCCTTCTGCCGGCCCAGCGGGCAGCGACCAAGACACTGGCATCTCAGCCCCCTCTGAGGAGAAGCTTTTGAAGAGCTCCCTAACAATATGTATTCCAGCCACACATTCTTTCATAAGCAATGACACATCAATCAAATGGACTGGGATACCAAACTCATACCTTCTACAGTTATTTTTATATGAAACCCTTTGAAGAGTGCTTTGAAGTTACATCCTGACCTCTAAAACTCTGTGGAGCTTCTGGGCTGAAACCCAGGTTTCCTTATGGAAGTGAGCCCCCACTGAAGTCAAGATGCTGAATTCACTGTGGGAATCAGTGCCTGCTGAAATAATTCTGCATCCTCAAGTGAAAGTTAACATGGATAACTCAAGGATTAAAAATACTTTTGCGAGAGTAGTCTGTTATTTACTGACATATATTAGGAACGAGGAGCAAAGGACATATCAACAGCATCTCAATCTTTTTTACACGTCTATCCATTTGAAAATCATGGGTTCCCATGAAAGCACATGCCGAAGCTCAGCTCTGTAACAGCCTCAGCCTCCAGCTCTGACTTTGCCCTGCTGACAGGCTCATGCAGGAAAGGAGACAAACCAAGCTCAGGCAAGGTTTGCTTGCCTAATGATTTCTGCTTATGCTGCTTTGCACCTTCCGGTTTCAAAGACTACACTAATTACAGCTTTCACCCAGACTCTCTGTCCAGAGTTTGTCACAAAATCTTAACTACACAGATAGCATGATCTGAGTTGGCCCTGCACAATACTTCAGCAGGGATAGTCGCACCATAAATGACGGTCACAGCAGTAGATACAAACCTAGTTCAATTAGCCATGAAAACCTCCGGGGTTTCCATCACAAACTAGTACCTGAGTTCTCCAAAATCACAGAGGATAACAACAAAACAACAGTCCGCTGTGGCTGTGAAACTAACTTGCTGAACACATTGTCTTCCTGAACTTGTGCTCATCTCCTGAAACATAATATTCCTGAGTAATTATTTCCTTACTCCCAAGAGTTACAGCTTCTCTTGTTGCATCAGAGACCTTATAATTACTGCTCATAACATCACAGAGGTAAGAACAAAGTGCTCATTACTGGAGAGAAAAAAATAAATCCTCTCCAGTCTATGGCACAAACAGGCCAACTGTAGTGTTTTGCAAATAAAGCTTCATGTCAGTCAACCCCATCAGAAAGCAAGCACTGAGGCTCCCGTGGTGCTCTCTGGAGAAGCTGGCAGCCATCCCTTGCTCCTGCAAACCAGTGTGGACTCAATTTTTTAACAAACTATCCTGCAGGATTGCTGATTTCCTAAGGCTTGGTCCACACCTCATGGGAGCAAGGGAAGATACGCTCTAGTTTTGCTTATGAAATGGGATGATTCTTATCTTCACATCCAAGTTGGAGTTCTTCTTCTAGTTTGAATTAGGCACTAATAATGTACTGGTTCAGAGGGATAGAAAGAGATTGACTCGGTTGCAATTGTGACCTTATCTAAGACACGAAGACCCACACGCACGAGTTCAGTTCTCACTGGACACAGCACACCCCCAGGAGGTGGAATTGAGGCAGGCATTGCCCAGGACAGCCCGGCCAAGCCAGCCCGGGCTGAGCAGCACACCACAGAGCCTTTCTTCACCATGGGATGATGGGGCATGGCTTCCAAACCTGGATCATTTCCATTCAAAGCTAAAGATGTTGTCTTCTGAGCTCTACCCCTGTTAGCATTCACCAGAGGTAGATTGAGGGCAAAGACTTTCCAATACATTTAATTGTTCAAAGCGCACTTGCAGACAGTGCTGCAAGGCCTCAGGTTGTGAGCAGCAAGGGTGGATACCACCTCTCATCTTCTGCCTTGTCCAGGCTCAGAAATATTAATAGCACTTAAAAATAAATAATGGTGATAATGAAAAACCGTAATAGGGTTTCCTTACGATCGTTTTTCCTGCACTGGAGCCGATCAATTTTAATAATAAATTGTAGCTTCCAGCTTGCCAGAGAACAAATGTACACCACGGGATAAAATCTGCTCCAACGTGAGACTCTACCCAGAGCAGGCACAGAGACCAGCCAGCTCACATGGCAAGGGCTGACAAATAGGGGCCATCCAGCCCAGTGACAGCAGCCTAAGCCAGCTCAGACAATGCAGCTATGCCTGCCTGGGCCAGGTCCTCCTCCAGCACCAGCGATGGTGTTCACTGCAGTCAGAGGCTTCGGAAACACTGACCGAAACCCTTTTCTTGTGTAGAAACACCAGAGCCTGTCCTCAAAACCCTTTATCACACACCTCCATCTGGATTTTAGTAGAAGGTAATAAAAGTAATTTGCACTGATGTGCCCATACCCATGAGCACTGTGAGCAGACCCTGTCCCACAGCACAGAAGCTGAATTCAGGTGCTTTGTGGGGTGCTGTGCTCCCCGGAGGCGTGCACCTCTCCCCTGCACACCCGCTCTCATGCTGCCCTGGCTCCCTGTGGCAGACAGCCGTGCTCTTTGTCTCTGGGCTGCCCCAGCCGAGCAATGCCCCTTGTGATGCCTTCTGAAAAAGCCTTAACAAAGTCTAGTTAAGAAAAAAATAAAGCAGAGGATAAAGAAAGAGTCGCTATGGCTCTGGCAACACATGCGCAGATATGACAATGTAATATTATCAGTGCCAGAAGGAGCCTTATAAATCCACTGCTGAACTCTGGCCTCTTCCAGTCACTTCCATCTTCCTCTGCCCTGAGCAACAGATATTTTTGACACTTGCAATTCTCCTGATGCAGTCCATCAATCTATTTTTGTCTCCCTTTGTTCCTTCCAAGTAGCCCAAGGGATTTGGCTGAGTTAACTTGCCAACCCTGTAAGGTCTGTACATCTCACTGAGGCCCGGTTGCCTGTGCTTGGTGCCGAACTGGGTCTCACTGCTTCAGCACCATCATCTGTCACTGCTCTCCTGCAGCACCCAGCTGGTCTGGCTCTGTGCAGCATGGTGGGATCAGTCCTGCTCTGCCGCAGGTGTGGCAGGATCATGTCCCCTCTGAAAACGCACTAATTGCATCATCAGGTTGAGATAGCAAAGATGATGTTTTGCCCACCTGTGATGTGAACTACACTGGTCTGTCAGTCTAAAAGTCAAGATTACAGTAAGCTCAGGTGTTAACCCTGACGCTTGATCTAGTCTTTCATCCCTAGAGAGTGGATTTCTCTTTTAAATCTAAGGAAAAAACCATGATTACCATAAATCAATTTTCAGGAGCACCTGGTGCATACACATGTGCCTATCTGTATCTGCCAAACACAAATTTTCCTTTCTAAGAACCAGAGGCACAGAATGAAAACACTAATACTCTCAACAAACCCTCTAGTTTGTTTTGGGCACATGATATACCATAGAATTACAGAATGGTTTGGGTTGGAAGGGACCTTAAAGCTCATCTAATTCCAGCCCCTATGCCACAGGCAGGGACACCTTCCACTAGACCAGGCTGCTCCAAACCACGTCCAACCTGGCCTTGAACACTGCCAGGGATGGAGAATAAAACATCACCACTAGTTCTGCTGGCTGTTTTTGTTAAAATTGGCACTGGTGTAGGGGCAAAGACAATGGAAAACCCTACTTGGGCAAACCCCAGCCCAAGCCCTGTGGCTAGCTGTGGAGGCAGAGGACCACTCTCACTGCCAGAGGCACTCCTCTGCTGGCGGCCAACCACACCACCATCACTAAGCGTGTGCTCTCAGACACAGGGTGGAAAGGCAGCAGATGCTGAGGAAGAAGGTGGATTTAGGGGGGTTCAGACCTGACACTGAGTAAGCCATGCCATTCCATGCACACCAATAGGTCACACTGCTCACCAGATGCCAGCAGCAGTTCCCATTACTCCAGGACAGGCACACGCAATGGCCACAACTGTTTTTTTAACTGTACAA